GACAGACTGGCACTGTCCCCTGAAGTAGCCCCTTCCCTTCATATCCTGCTTTCCCAGCCTGTCTGTGGGGTGATGGCTGTCCCCTATTGTGTGCTGGGGTGGGAATGGTCCCGTTTCTTCTCCCAGCTGGGATCAKCTCGGAAGCTGTCCGAAATGCCTTTGTTCACCCCGCGCCGGAGCGGCTCCCCTGGCTGTTTATAGCCCATTGATCCTCCTGTTCCCAGGACCAGCCAGGCACAATCGGGCTCTGGGGGGGCCTCGCTGCCCCATTTCCTGCCCCGGGCCCATGCAATGTGAGGGGGGCTGCTCCAGCACAGTGCCGGGGTGATGCCTTTGGGAATCCCTGAGCCCTGACTGTGACAGTTTGGGCATTGATGGCACCTGGCTGGCAGCCCCTGCCCTGCTCCCATCCCCTGCCTGTTGCACTTCCAGCTGTTTTCCGTGTGTCTGGGGACTCCCGTCCATCCGCCGGCATTGCTGCAGGGCTCTGGATTCCCGCAGGCGCTGGGACAGGCRTGAAGCCGCTTCCCAGATCCCCTTTCTCCTAAGCCCTCGGTGCTGTAAACCCACCCTTCCTCCCATTGAATCCCAACAATGCCGCTTGGGAAGCGCCGGCGGGACAAGAATAGGAGCAGGCAGCTCTCAGGGCTGGGACGAGGAGCCGCGGTGGCTCACCAAGAGCGAGAGGAAGCTTTGCTGAATAAACCATTATGGTAAAACCCTGCCCTCCTGAGCCTGAGCTCAGCCACTCATGTGCAAATCCTCCATCTGGTCCAGGGTGTTTGTAATCCAGCTGTTCCCAGCACGGCACAGCTGGGTGCTGCTGGGGGAGCCCTGCCTGCGGCGAGCCTGTGCCTGGGCAGAGTCCCACGCCAGTGTTGGGTGTGAGAGCATCCTCCAAGGCCTGTCCAGCTTCAGGGATATCCCTGCATCCTGCTCAACTGCGGCTGCGTGGTGCCATGGAGCAAGGATTGAATGTGGTAGCCACAAGCCACAAGTCCCTGTCACAGCTCAGCCTGTTGTGGCCATGCCCCAGGCTCATGGCAGGTCAGCCTGACCGCAGTGCTCTTGGCATGGCAGCTTCTCCCGATGGACCCTCTGCCCTGCCCAGGGCTCACTTTGCAGCCAGGATCCATCATGAACAGCTGGTGAAGGGAGCAGGTGGCAGTTTCCGGAGGCAGGATACCGGGAATGAGCTGTGCTCCAGCTCACTGGGGTGGCTCAGGGGACTGGGACAGCTGCTCTGTGTGGGGGACAGTGAGACCCATCCGGCACACCTGGATGGCTGCAGTGGATGTCCGGTTAGATCAGAGCAGGGATGCTCCAGCTGTGCAGGGCTGGGGAGGAGGTGACCCTGTGCTGGCACGGGGATGGCCYGAGGCCATCTGGGCCCTGAATGTAAGGACTGGAGTGATGAAACTTTGGGAGAAGAGGAGCAGGGTGGGAGCAGGGATCTGCCGGGACTCACACTCCTGTGTCCCATCCTGGCGCAGTGCAGTGACTTCAGGACTCCCTGGATCTGCCTGCAGTGGGGTAACCCCAGGACACCCCAGACCTTCCCACAGCACGGTGTCCCCACAGCCCTGAGACACGGCGGGTGCTGTGACCCCAGGACACCCCAGACCTTCCCACAGCACGGTGTCCCCACAGCCCTGGGACACAACGGTGTTGTGACCCCAGGACACCCCAGACCTTCCCACAGCACGGTGTCCCCACAGCCCTGGGACACAGCGGGTGCTCTCGCCATCTGCACTGGAGAGCAAATCCCCTCAGTGTGTCCCCTGTGGCCCCTGGGGACTTCTCCTCCCTCCCAGCCGAGGCTTTTCCCAGGCTCTGGTTTTGGCCTTTTCCTGAGAGCAGCCAAGTCTTTCCCAGCCTCCACGTCTCACTTCTTCCTGCTGTGGCTCCCTCCACGCTGTGCCTGGTGGCTCCTTCTGTGGCCAGCAAAAGCCCTGAAGTGCCATGGGAGAGGAGCAGGTCTGCTCCACACTGTCACATCCCTCAAGCCATGGCTGGGAACAGCTACAGTGGGACATGTTCCCTTCCCATTCAGCACTGGCTCTTCTTACAGGCACAGCTCAGGGTTGATTCCCCATCCCCAGCAYCCCAGGACCACCGTGGCTCCTTGTTTTTAGGCCACATCAACCTTTGCTTGCCACAAAAAGCCCCTGGCTCTGCAGAAGCAGCCTCTCTTGCCCAGTGTTGCATCAGCTGGCAGGGGTAGGACCCAACCCAGGGTGGGCACAGGGTGCTGGGCACCACAGTCCTGGTGCCTGCACACAAGGAAATGGCCGGGGGCGAGTGACAATGTCAGGATGCAGCTATTGAGTGCGTTTCCTCCCTCCCGCAGTTCTCACACAGAACTGCATTGTCTGCCATGCCCGCGCGTGGAGGGCTAAATATAACCCCGGGGAGGAAGGGAGCTCCGTGGGGTTTGCTTTTCCTTCACTCTGCACCCTTGGCAAAGGGCTGGAAAGGGCAGGGTTATTCCTGGTTTGGGGTTGCCCCAGTGGTGAGTGCTGGGGTCAGAGTTCTGTTTTTGGCCCAGGGGGATGCTCTGACTGCTCCCACTCCCCCTGAGGACACAGCTGGGCATGGACAGGGCCCTGTGGGGAAGTGTGGCCACTCTGTGTCCCTGCCTGGCACCCTCCTGCCCAGCTCTCTGCCCAGCTGGCACCCTCCTGCCCAGCTCTCTGCCCCTTCCTCCTCCTCAGCTGTGCTTCTGCTCCCACCTCTGCTCTTCCTGAGTGGGTCAGATTTAGATACTTGCTATTTGCTGTATGCTGGGAAAACTTYAAAAATAAACTCCTTGGTGCTTGGCCAGCATCTCAGACAGAGCCTTTCAGACAGGATAGCCCTCTGTCCCAGGCCATGGCAGAGCTGAGCAGGGATGGCCTGGCACAGACTGGTCCTAACTGGGGGGAGAGTAGAAAACTCCACACAGAGGAGCCCCAGAGCTCCCAGGGACTGTGACTGGTGTTAGACCAACACCCCCAGAAAGAACTGTGGTTCTGGGAAGTGTATGGTCCCCCAGGACTGTCAGAACTGCCTGCAAGTGTTTCCTAACTCAGGATGTRCCCATGGGGAGCCCTTTGCTGCAGCTCCCAGGCTGCCTGTGCCAGCATCATCAGCCAGGGCCGGGTGTTGGGGGAGTGAGTGTCATTCCTGAAAGGGACCGGAGGGGCCTGTTTTTTCAGGAGAGACTGCGGAGGTGTGAGAAAGGCCGTGCGTGTCTGTCCGGCCGCTATCTGTCCCTGGGCTGCGCCAAAGGGCTCTGCCGGCCCAGCCTGGGCTCTTATCAGCTCCAAACTTTTATTTGCCTAAAGGCTGCCCTCCCACCTTCTGGGGGGCTGCTGCCAACCCCAGCCCTGCTGCTGCCCCCTCCCCAGCCTGGCCCGCAGATGAGCCCCTCACTGTTGTTATTGGCACTGGGTCCCGGCGGCGTGGGGTCACCGCAGCTGCCCCGAGCCACTTTGTCACAACACGGGAACAATAGAGGGACACGGAGCTGTGTTTGTGCAGCGCCYGGGCACCGTGTCCAGGCAAGGGGGGTCTCGGCCGTCTTGTTTTCCACCTTGCAGGGTCGYTCGGAAAAGCGTGATGCTCCCCTGCTGCCAACAAAAACAGGAGTGCAGGAGAGGGGAGGTGACCTGGGGACACCGCGGTGGGTAAACATGGCAGGGCTGCCCCGTTCCCTTTCGCTCGGGCTGTTCCTGCTGGCTCAGCACGTTGGGCTGCTTCTCCCAGAGCTGCGGGGCTCTGCTGGTACTGGGGGGCACTGGGATGGGCCTTCCATTGTGCTGGGGTGTGCTGGGAGGTCCCAGCTGGGCAACAGTGGGTGCAGTGTAGGGTCTGTCTGGTGACAGTGGGAGCAGGACAGAGACCCTCAGAGAGAGTGGGAGCAGCACAGGGTCTCTCCAGAGATAGTGGGACCAGCACAGGGTCCATCTGGTGACAGTGGGAGCAATGCAGGGACCCTCAGAGAGAGTGGGAGCAGGACAGGGTCCGTCTGGTGACAGTTGGAGCAGGACAGGCACCCCCCAGTGACAGTGGGAGCAGGACAGGGACCCTCCAGTGACAGTGGGAACAGCACAGGATTCCTTCAGAGACAGTGGGAGCAGCACAGGGTCCATTTGGTGACAGTGGGAGCAGGACAGGGACTCCCAAGTGGCAGTGGGAGCAGGACAGGGTCCATCTGGTGACAGTGGGAGCAGCACAGGGACCCTCCAGTGACAGTGGGAGCAGCACAGGGTCTCTCCAGAGATAGTGGGAGCAAGACAGGGTCCTCCCACACTGGCTTTACCCCAGCATCCTCAAGCAGAGCACAGGAAAGAGCTGGGAGCTGGTGGTGTGCACCCCAGACCCCCACCCCAGGGWGTTTCACCCCCCTCATCCCCAGCAGGGAGGAAGGCAAGGGTGGCTCGGCCGCCAGCCCAAGGGCAGCGCAGCCGGTGCCTCCCTCCTCATTTCCTCCAGTGGCTGATGGCAGCGATACTGCCCCGTATCACCCATATTTCACTCTCTCCAGGGTATTTTTAGCCTGTTCCACCCTCACTGGAGAGGCCCTCGACAGAGAACAGGCTCTGCTCTGGCCTGGCTTGGCTGGGGATACTAAACAGCCCCAGCCACATTGTGTGCCTTTATCTGCGGCTCATTTCCACCTATTATGCAGCTACAGCAGCTCCATGGCCTCTGTTGGGTTTATCTGGAGTGGAGGGAGAGGGGCTGAGCTCTGCTTTGGGCCACTGTGARCCTGGGACGTGACAGCCCTGTCAAACCCTGGGCTGAGGCTGGGCTCAAGGGGACAAGAGGCCACAGAAGGGGGGTGTGCTTTCAGTGGGTGAGTGGCACCTGCAGCACAACTGGGTGTCCACTTTCCCCTTCACCCCAGCTCCATCACCCCCTCAGGACAGCATTTCCCCCTCCCTCATCCCAAAACCTCACCCCAAACCCCCCCCTGAAATCAGCTGCAGGAAGCACAGTCACACCACCTTCACTTTTTCTCATTCATCCAGCTTTATTCAACAAGATGCAACACAGAGTCTGCCAGGGGAAGGGAAACAGTGCTGAGGGCAGTGCCCCCATCCCGTGCTCTCACCTGGGTCACACAGGACCTGCAGCCCCTTGGTCACAGCAGGACAATCCCCTCTCACAGCATCACTGTGCTGGTAAGGTCAGGGTGACAGCTCCTGTGACAGCAGTTGGTTCTTCCATTCCCCCTGGCCCCTCAGCCCACAGCAGGAGATGACTAGTGCAAATAAAACCCAAAACCCCCTAAACCAACAAATTCCTCCCCAAACCCCACAGGGCTCCAAGGCACACGCTGGACACGGCTCCCCAAATCCCCTGCWGACTGCACCTTTAAGGCAGAAAACTCCGTGCTCAGGCCAGCAGGTTAAAAATAACTTAAAGGCTCACATCCCATGGGAAAGGGCCCAGGGCCGGGAGGCGGCGGGGGGAGCTCACGCTCCTGGGTCACTCACWGTGACCCTGCAGCCACTGGGATCTGCTGGTCACAACGGAACTGGCTTAACCCCTCTGTGTCCCATGGGGAGGGGGCAGCTCCTGCAGCAAATCCTGGGCAGGTGCCAGGGCTGCTGGAATGGGATGGGGCTGGTGGCCAGGCTCTGTCAGCGCTGCCCCAGCCCAGCTTTTCCCGGCAGTCCCTGGCTCAGCCTGCTCCGTGTGGAGGCAGGAGACGAGCAGCTTCCCACGGCCGCTGCCCTGGCTCTCACACCAGCCGAGGCTCTGGGGTCTGGCCGAGGCTCTGGGGTCTGGCCGAGCCGCAGCTCCTGATGGCCAGCAGCCTCCAGCCACGGCCTCGGGGACAGCCTGTTCCACGGCGTGGCCCCAGGGCTTTCTCCCTTTCCCACGGCAAGGCACACAGGACACGGCGTCCCGGGGAACTTTGTGCAGTTTCCTTCCTTTTGCACGGTCTGTGGGGAAAACCGCAGACAGCGGAGAYTGCGCTCCACGGCCACGCTGCCGAGCATCCCATCCCAGGGCAGGCATGTCCCTGGAGCCTCCGCAGCGGAAATGTGTACGGCACAGCACCAGGCAGGAGGCATCTGCCTGCCCACAGCCAGCACCTTTGCAGGCACGATGGACCGAGGAAAGTCCCCCTGCCAGCCGGGGCCAGCCCGGCATTACACATATTGCTTTTTGGAGGCTGAGCTCCCGGGCCGGTTGCCAAGCTTCTCCTCCGGGGCAGAGGCTTCAGTGACCCGGGGGCCGTAGGGGTCTGACAGGGTCATGCTGCCGCTGCCCAGTGCCAGGTTCTCCTCGTTGCAGTGGTTGGCCCAGTTCTGCTCGTTGGAGAGCCTGTTGCAGGTCTGGTAGGAGGGCGCGTGGCTCTCGGCCATGGGTGGGAAGGGAAAGTGYTTGGGTGCGTAGGGTCCCGTGACCATGTCAGCCACAAAAGTGTCCCGGCTCGGCACGGCTGCCCCTGATGCCTTCTTGATGTTGCTGAGCAGGTTCTTGCAGCAGAGGTGGAAGAGCTCCAGGAGGTTCAGGGTTAAGGAGATCAGGCCCATCACCAGCATGAAGATGATGAAGATGCTCTTCTCGGTGGGGCGGGAGATGAAGCAGTCCACCTGATGGGGGCACGGGTCCCTCTTGCACACGTAGCGGGGCACCATGGAGAAGCCATACAGGTACCACTGGCCCACCAGGAAACCAGCCTCAAAAATGGTCTTGCAGATCACACTGGTKATGTACGTCCACATCAGTGCCCCTCGGATCCTGAGCCGCCCGTCCTCTGCCACGTAGATCTTGGACATTTTCTTCTGCACAGCTTCCAGGGCCTGCTCGATATTYGGGTCCTTGCTGTGGTTAGCCCGAAGATCGCTCTCCCGCTGCTTCAGCTTCTCCTCCTGCCGGGAGAGATAGACAACGTGGCCCAGGTAAATCAGGGTCGGGGTGCTGACAAAGAGGATCTGGAGCACCCAGTAGCGGATGTGGGAGATGGGGAAGGCTTTGTCATAGCAGACGTTGGTGCAGCCCGGCTGTTTGGTGTTACACACGAAATCTGACTGCTCGTCCCCCCACACAGACTCGCCGGCCAAGCCCAGGATGAGGATGCGGAAGATGAAGAGCACGGTGAGCCAGATCTTCCCGATCACYGTCGAGTGCTCCTGGACTTGGTCCAGCAGTTTCTGCAGGAATTCCCAGTCACCCATCTTCCAGGAACCCTTTGCCTCTGTCAGCAGAGAGAAGAGAGCAGCCACATCAATTCCCTGTTTCCATGCTGGGGAGCCACCTAAACCCTGGCCACCTAAACCCYGTGCTTTTTCAGGATATAACTGCTCTGAGGAGTATCCCAGCAAACCCACTGAAGAACATCCCACTTCTGAGGGAGGGAGGGTTCCAGGCAGCCTTTAGGAGCCCCRGAGGGCTCCTCCTACACGGCCTTGCCCAGTGCAGGAGCATGGGGCTGGGAGAGGAGAGGCAGCACAGGCATTCTCCCCTCCCAGCAGCACCCACAGCTCATGGCTGTCCTGCCTGCTCCAGGCACAGCCTGTAGCCAGGGGCTGTTTTATTTGGTGACGTTTTGGGGCTGCCCAGGGAGGTCAGGGCCACAGCAGGGGCTCACAAACTTGCTGCTGCCCCAGCTTTCCTAAAAAGCAGAGAGCAGGATAGCCCAGAGGGGAAGCACAGCCCCTTGGGGTACAGCTGCCACCCCAAGGTTTGAGGGCTCACCCCAAACTGAACGGACAGCCCCCCAYCACCGCCCTTGCTGCGGGGTGATAGACCCCAGCCCCAGCACCCTCCCCTCACCCAGGGGACTCCCGGCATTGCTCACCACCCTGTCGTCACTCCGGGGCTCCCGGGGAGCCAAACCCTCACCCCGCGGGCACTCAGCCCGGCTGTGAGGGGGGGACAGGGCAGCGGCAGCCCCAGCTCCTCATTAACCGTTGTTAATTAGGCACAGAAGTGCCAGCTTTGCCGTTAAAGGAATCCCCGGTAGCGGTGGGGTGCTGCCCCAGCCCCGGCCCGGTGTCCTCGAGCGGTCGCGGTGCCCCGGCGGTGCCCGGTGCTCGCACTCACCTCCGCCGAGCCGGGCACGTCCCGCCGGGCTCGGGCCGCGCTGAGTGAGAGGGGTCGGACCGGGTGTTTTCTATTCGTGCGGGGCCCGGGGAAGGCGGGGGAGGAGCGCGGGCAGGAAACCGGGGGCCGGGCCGGGCCGAGCCGAGCCGAGCCGAGCCGCAGGTGCCCGGGGCCGCCCCCTCCCGCAGCCCCCGGGCCAGGGGCGGCCCCAGCGGGTGGGGTGGGGGTGGCCCGACCCTTCGGAGCCGAAGGCAGTAGCGGACAGTGGGAAGCCCGGGTGTTACCGCACTCTCGTCTCCGGCTGCGGCTCCGCCGCTGGGCAAGCCCGCTGAGCCAGAGAGCCCGGGATGCTCCTCTGAGCGGTGTCCCGGGGATGTTCCGTTCCTGCCCGCCCCGGCCGGACCACGGCTGCGGCGCTCGTGGTTTGCCCCCGAGGGTCCGTGAGGCGCGGCGGGCGCTGGGTGGTGCTGGAGCCCCACCGGAGCCTGGCTGCCGTCCCGCATCCCGCCGGTTCCCGGGATGAGCCCCGCCGGTTCCCG